CTACCACGAGCGGCAGCACCGGCAGGACCTCCCTCTGTTCTGTCATGACTCACGAGTTCACTAGCAGCAACTCTGGTCGGACCTTCCCATTCTCCGTCGCTAGCAGCCACGCTTGCCACCGACGTCTCCCGATCCCATCGCGAGCAGCCATGCTGGCCGGACTTCCCCCTTCTATGTTGCAAGCAAGCATGCAGGTCGGGCCTCTCCCTTCTCCTGCTTCTTTTCTGGACGCTCTGGTTTGGAGAATCAACCCTTTGTTGAACCAAACACATCAAGTAATCACCCAATTGTTAGATATTTGTACATCATGTGTAATGGGATTATTATTGTAACTCTCCTGTAATTGTGGATCGCACCATGCCAGGGCCTGCGTGCCTATTTTGTAGGGCATGAGTGCTCTCCTTCCTTGTATAAGTGTTGTACTTTGTATTTGAGGTAATCAAGGTAACAATTATTCTCTCCAACTTGGTATCAAACACCAGGACCTCCTCATGGCCTCGCCGCCCTCCTCCGCGAACACCAGCGCCACCACCTCGCCGGGCTCCCTCTCCTCCACGGCGCCCGCCGCTGACACCACCGCGGCCTCCTCTCCCTCCTTCGTCTTCGGTATGAACTCACCTGACACCTCCGCATCTTCTGGATCGCGCTTCGCCCCTCTCTTCTCCTCCACCGCTCCAGCGCCCCCTCCGGCATCCACCCCGGCATCTCTCCTCCCCATCTACCGTGACCACATCACCAACCACATAAAATTCCTCCTCAACCTTGCTGACCACAACTATCATAAGTGGAAGTCTTTCTTCCTCATGGTCCTCGTTCGCTACGGCGTCACTCATCTCATCGAGCATCCCCCGCCGCCCAACGCCGATGCCGCCTACCTAGAGCTTGATGCTCATGTTGCCCTTTGGATCTACGCCACTCTCTCTGACGCCATGGTGGATCATGTCGTCAGCGCCACCACCACGTTTGCCATCTGGACAAAGATTCGTGATTACTTCCTCTCCAACCGTGCTGCCCGGTTCATGATCCTCAACAGGCAATATCACAACCTCAAGCAGGGCGATCTCTCTGTCTAGGAGTACGCACGTCGCATGAAACTCCTTACCGATGGCCTTGCCGACATTGAGCACGCCGTCATCGAGGTTGATCTCACCACCAAGTTCCTTCACGGCCTTGACAAATGCCTCGACACCATCCGTGTGGTTCTCGGCGATCAGGGCCTGCCGTTCGACGTCGTGCTCTCCCGCGTCACCCTGGCCGAGGAGTCCATGGCGCAACGCTCTGCTGAGGAAAGCGCCTCGGTGTTTGCCCTCCACAACGGGGGCTCTTCTACGAGCAGCAGCTCGAGCACCGGTGGTTCACGCGGGGACCGCTCCGGTGATCGTGGCCATGAGCACCCCACGGGCCCCTCGCCGCATCCCCCTGCCCGTGGCCGCGGCGACCGCCAAGGCGATGGTAGAGACCGCGGGCGTGGGCGTGGTTGTGGGCGCGACGGCCGCGGCCGCGGCGACTACAACGGGCGTGGGCAGTCTGCGGCTCCTCCCAGTCCCATGGCGCCCTTCACCGGCTACTTCGCGCCCTATGGGATGGCTCTCCCCTCTCCGCGCTCCGGCTGGGTGCCCCCCAACGCGGCGGGCGTCCTCGGGCCGCGCCCGGGCTCGCATGCGCATGCCTACCCCGTCCAGCACACGGCTGCCCCGCCTCCCGCCGCCCACTACTCGCCGGCGATGTACTACCCTCCCCCGCCACCCTCATGGGACCACTTCGCCATGCTGAACGCCGCCTACAGTCACGGTGGTCACCACGCCACCACCCCATCCAATGAATGGTTCCTCGAGAGCGGCGCCTCCTCCCACATCACCGGCAACCAAGGTATCTTGACCTCGTCTAGTTCTTCTTTAAATCATTCTACTCCATCTTCTATACTTGTTGGCAATGGTCATTCTCTTCCTATTACTGCATCTGGTTCTACTACTCTCGCTCCCTCTTCTTTTAAACATGAATGATGTACTTGTCTCTCCGTCCATCGTTACCAATCTTATATCTGTTAGGCAATTCACTCGTGACAATTTTTGTTCTATTGAGTTTTACCCATTTGGTTTCCTTGTGAAGGACCTACGAACACGGAAGGTGCTCCTGATCTCCACTAGTTTCGATGGCCTATACCCACTCTTCGGCAGCAACTCGCCATGGCCTACTGCCTTCACCGCCACCACTTCCATGTCGGACATATGGCATCACCGGCTTGGGCATCCCGGCGCGCACTCCTTTACTTCATTAGCCAAAGATTTTCTTAGCACTTGCAATAAGCCACCGCACACTCCATGTACTGCTTGTCAGCTGGGTAGACAACCTAGGCTTCCTTTCCTTCCTCTCTAAATAAATCTTATGCTCCCTTTGATTTAATTCATTGCGACTTGTGGACCTCGCCTGTTGTAAGCTTTTCTGGGTTTCAATACTACTTAATTGTTCTTGACGATTACACTCACTTCTCCTGGTCGTTTCCCTTACGTAACAAACTTGACACGTCCACCGTTCTCCAACGTTTCTTTACATTTTTTCATACACAATTTGGCGTAGTGATTAAAAGCATGCAATGTGACAATGGCGGTGAGTTCATCAACTCTTCCCTTCGTGCCTTCTTCTCCTCCAACGGCATTGCCTACCATTTCTCCTGCCCACACACTTCGCCTCAAAATGGAAAATCCGAACGACTCATCCGCACTACCAATGATATCGTCCGCTCCCTTCTTTTCCAAGCCCACCTCACACCACCATTCTGGGTAGAAGCATTACACACAGCCACATACCTTCTCAACCGAAGGCCCTCCCGTGCCATCAATGACTATACGCCATACTACCTTCTCCACGACTCCCATCCCTTGTATGATCATCTCCGCGTGTTTGATTGTTTGTGTTTTCCAAACCTATATGC